TTTCATTTCGAAAAATATTACGCTCGAATCGCACGCGCGCGCGTGCGCGCGCGTTTCAGAGAAAACGCGTATTTTAGCGAATGCGCAATTTCGACGATGATCTATTTACGAAATCCATTACTCTGCGTTTATAATTCACCGGCTCGGGACAATTTTTCATTACGCAACGATAGCAATTCATACGAGAAATCCCGTCTGATTTCACGACGACGCCCGGAAGGAGCGGCCTCGCGCGCAGCGCTACGTTAGCGCATTTATCGCGCGCGCGCGCGCTCGTATTAGCAAGATTAAAAATTCTTTTTTCTCGCGCACAATACGCATATAATTTTGTTAAAATGCGCTCGTTTGCACTCGCCTGCCCGCATTTCGCCCGGTCTACATTTTTCACATGCATTTCCCGCGTCTATATTTAATCTGCCCGTTCGTGTTCGAGCCGCAGGCGTTTATACGCGAGAAAGAACCTCCTCTCCTCCCACCAATCCCTCCCAGCCGAATGTTCCGACTAAAACCCGGAAACGGAAGTCCGCGCGCGTACACGCGGCTGTAAGTTTCGAGTGACCTCTCTTATTGAGAAACCAACGTGCATATAATCGGCAGTTCCGGACAGGAGAAACGAGAAAAGGAGAGCAGAAGGGGATAGAAAGAAACGAGAGACGCGATTAAATCCGCGCTGCACACACTGCGGAATCGCCCGCTCGCCTCCCGCTCGCGGCATCGACGACGCCGCCGCCGCCCGTCGGTCGCCATTTCGCGGAGCGGCGCGGGGGGCCTTAATAAGACGAGATTTAGGGCGTCCCAGGTGGCAGAGCGGGCCCCGATAGTGGCAGTTTATGCCGTCGTGTAGCTCGACGGAGTTCCCGCGCCATTTAACCGGGGGCGTAAATGTTAAAAGCCCGCCGTCTCTCCCTTTACGCTCCGCGGATCCGCGAGCGTTACGACCGGTTTTACATTCGAGCTTCGGCGCGCCCTCGAACACGAACTTCGAGAACAGCAGGAGCAGGAGCAGGAGGAGGACGAGTATGACAGCGGGGAAGCTTAGAAGGGATGCATCGAGGGCGGCGGAAAAAGAAAAAATACAGCGCGGAAATTACCGCGAAGGAACGAACGGAGCTCTCCCTGCTCCCCTCCCCTCCCCCTCACCCCCGCCCTCCTCACTCGTCTCGCTATCGTTTTACGGGTTTCCATCCGTCGACCGTGTAATCGGATTTATAGGACGACTCTTAGATCCGTCTCGTCTCTATCAGGGCGCTTTCTTGCCGTTTCCTCTTGCCCGTTTTTTCGACTAAACACCGTGTTACTTTATACCTCGCGGGAAACGAGGCATTCTTGCGCGCGCGCGTGATACTCGATGCGCGAGGCGAAGTTCTCTCGCGCGATACATTCTCGTCGGGTTCACGGGTCATTAGGAATTTTCCGGCGGCTAATAGTATCGGCCGGATTACGAAGTTTTCAGGGCGCCGGCTTGCCGGAGCCTGGCTGGAGCGTGCACCTGAACACCTGCACCCCTTTCTCGAGACTCCCCCGGGGGACGCGGCCTCTCCCCCTTCCCTGGCGCAAGAAGTTTTCAGCCCCCGCGAAGTGGACTTTTCGCGGCATTTAGCCGCCTCGGCTCGGGAGACCGTAAAGTTAAATATCGGGGGAGGATTTCTCCGGAGCGGGGGGAAGACGGAGGAGACACGGGGGGGAAGAAACACCGCCGCCGCCGCCGTCGCCGTCGCCTCGTAAATTGGCTTCGCCGCCCGGAGGTCGTCGGTTAATCGCGCGAAGAGGTCGCGCGGCCGAGGAGCGCAAACCGCGGGTGGGGGGGGAGGGGGAGGGGGGGAAGCAAATAAAGCAGCAAGTTAAAATTCAATTCGGCCGGAAGAGACAATCGAAGTCCCGGGCGCGGTGAGAGGTGGTAAGCCGCTTTCTCGGTCGCCACACGGCCACGTCGAGAGAATCTCTGCTCGAATAGAAGAAAGAAGAAAGAAGAAGAAGAAGAGAGGAGAGCAACGAGATCGGCGCTTCAGACGCGTGCGCGATCTACCGTGGTCTGTATCGTCGTTGTCCATTTACCTTGCAAAGCTTGCTCGCGCTGAATAACAGAGAGCGAGATCGCGACTTCGAGGTAACGCTTAATCCGTCGGCCGTAGGAGAGCCGGCATTTGCACGCTCCTCCGCGAAGCGCCGCGTCGGATTACACGCGCGTGCGCGCGCGAGTGGAACAAGACGATCTCATGTCGGACATTGGCAAGACGCGACGCGCACAGGAGATGTCCCCGAGAATGCGCCCGCGGTCTATTTCTGGTTAACGTGTCCACGTGGTGACGTGGCGACCTAATCAGCGCTGCCGAGTCCGAGTTCGCTTTTCATTTCACGTTCCCACGGGTGTTCTCCCGGGCTCCGTTCGGCGGGAGACGATTCGCGCGGGATATTCTTACGCTGTCGTCGTTCGGATAAGCCGGCCGGATGAACGTCAATCGGCGCGAGCGGATTTCCTCCGCGACACAAATTATCCGACACACACATAAACGGAACGGCTTGGAAAAATCCGGGCGAGGCTCGCCCCGACGTGGCTGGCTTCGACGTGGCGGGCTTGATCATTCGAGCTGATTACAAATCGCATACACACAACCAGACACAAATCCAGTCCGTCGCTGCCAAAACCATCGTGTAAAGCCTACTTACGTAGCCGAATACAGCCGGCCAATCGTCGGCTGGTAATCCGGGAATGTTTTCTGCCCGGTCCATTATCGGCTTAGCGCGGCTGCTCCCGCGCGCGCGCTTTCCCTCTTCTCTGTTCATCACTTTCTCTCTCTCTCTCTCTCTCTCTCTCTCTCTCTCTCTCTCTGGCGGTCTCTCCCCACCCCGCCACGACCTGAATCCCGCCGCGAGAAAAAGAAAATCGCCACCCAGTATACGGCGTGCGCTCCGGGTAAATCGATAGTGTTAAAGATAGTTTCCTCGCGCACGCCGCTCGCTCGCATTTGTAATTCTCCCCGAGGAACCGGGCGAAATGGGTATTGAGATGGACTCGACGACGAGACAAATCCCCCTCGAATATCTCCGCGCGAATAATTATCACGATTTGTAAATTACACCTTCCCGAGAGCGTTTCCTAGCGAGGAGAGAGCGGTTACTTTTGCGGGCCGTCGATAACGTCCGAGTAGAAACAGACACTGATTGTCACGCCAATTGCATTTTCTGCTACGCGCGCGTTTCCGTAATTTACATTCGCTTCGGACGACGTGTATAATTCCGTTCGTTCGGGGAATCAATATGAATCTCTCGGGAGAACACGCTTTTTAATGTACGCCCGAAAATGGGATCCCTCTATTTCCTTCTCTTCCCCAGTCTTCCTCTCGCACGCGTCACATATTTTATCGACTCCGTCGATGTGTGAAAGATCGATATTGTTGCCTCGCCTGTGTTGAAGGACGGCGATAACAACACAACGACAAAGTGTACACCTGTCAAGCTGCTCGCGACCGTCTGTGTAAGAATGACGGCTCTTCCGTGCGCGCGCGCGCTCTAGCCGGACATGTTATTCGCTTCCGCTATTGGAGCACGCTTAAAAATGCATGGGCCACTCAACTCGGACCGGAAGCACTCCGGTTATCCTGTTATCCGATGTCCTCGAGGATAAGGCTCGCGCTACCTTAATGACAGGCTGCAATATTCGCCTCTCTTTGCTTTCTCAGCGAAAGGAAAACAGCCGGCCGTGACGAAGTTGCGGCTTCGCGGGCGGCTTTATATCCTCGCGAATGTGCATCGACGCGATCAGCGAGCGCGCGCAAACGTCCGCGAAATTGTGAATTACGGAGTTATCGATTTCCCTTCTTCGTGATTTTAACGGATCGCCCGTTTTCGGGCGATCACGATCGCGCGAATTATGCGAGTGCGGAAATGTCAGTTATCCTGACTTAATTAACGATTTAAAATATAACCCGGTGAACGCATTTGTGCGAGTTCGTACGAAATCCAGCAGTTCGACGCGCGATTGTGAAACCGCCTCGCCGATTCGCCACGGTAATTGGTTCATATATTTCCGCGCGGGGAAGCGAAGCGTCCTTGATTTCACGACTAGTGAAATTGGCGCAATTAGCGCGTCTTACAAACGTCGTGTAAAATCCGTCGCTGTGACGCGCGCGAAAAGCGGTCGGCTACCTGCCTGCCTGCCTGCCTGCCTGCGACAGTTTCGCCGCTCGCGACCGGCAAGGAGAGAGATTATTCTATAACTTTAACAATCAATTATTTAAAATCCAGTTATCTCCGCAGGGGCCCCTGCCGGCGTATATTCAATTTAAAAACTGCAAACAGTCACCGGGGCGACGCTCGCGACGAGCACTCAATATGTAAAACGCGATGTAACTTCGCTGCGGCCGCAACTCGGCGAATTAATCAAGCGGAATTCACGCCCGACTTGTAAACGTTGACCAAATATCCGCACGCGAGTTAACGATCACGGAATTGTCCGCGAAATTTCAGCAACTCAGACACACAGAGTGCACACGCGGGCGCGCGCGCGCGGCGAACGAACGAGCGGCATTTTTTGGCGACTCGACATCGGCGGGCTAAATCGTGTTAACCTTCGTCGTTTCGGCCATCTTCGCCAATCACGGACTCTAATTCTCTTTTTCGCCGTGTGCAACGGACGCACTCGATATCGCCGCATCGATCCCGTCGCGCCGATATACGCCGTCGGCCGCCGAGTTGCTCAACGCTGGCTTTCCGCTGAGTTTTCTCGACGTGCCAATAAAACTTCCCGACGACGAAAGTCACGCGCCGCGAGCGCCCTCGAGATATATCCGCGGCTACGTGAAAACAACTCGCGATAAAAAATTTCGATCGCTCTTCAGCATGCATATACACCACGCGCGCGTGTATAATTCCAAACTCGCGTGTATAATTCATCGGCGCGATACTGCGCGCACGCGCGCGCGCGCGACTCCTTTCAATATGAAGGGACGAAATAATTAAACGAGAGCCGGCCCTTATGCGCCGGAAGCTGTTCTACGTACCTGGTAGAGTATGTCGAGGGAGATCGGGTAGATCATGTGCTCCACGATGACACGAAGGACCGTGTTGGGGCCGCCCTGAGTCTCGCCGGCGCCGGATACCTGGTTCTGCCCGGAGACCGCGACCTGATTGTTCGGATTCTGTAACAGAGAAACGTTCCGTAATTTATAACACGACGTAAACACATGACCGTGTCGTAGTCGCCGGCTCGGAAAACGGAAGCCTTTCGCGCTGCGCTGCCCGGTGAATTAATCGACATGAAGCGTACGTCATGCTATAAACCTTATGACTCCGGTGCGCTCCTCGGAGGAGCGCGCGATACACGGAAAATTTCTCTCTCCCCTCCCCCCCCCTCTCACTCTCTCTCTCTTTCTCTCTCGGTGCATCCGACGAGCGTGATAAAGCGAAATGGGAAATGATTTCCTTCGGAGCGGAGAAGCAGATAGAGAAAGAGAGATAGAGCGGAGGAGCGAGACGACCGTCAGAAGAGAAACGAGGAGAAATGCGAGGGGCCAAACGAAAATAGATGCAAGAGTATTAAAATTGGACGCATACTGAGCGTAAAAACGAGGAGGCATTATACTTTGTAAGTGAGAGCCGTATATATAATAGACGATGGTGCTGCTGGGTTATTAAAAGTAGTCGTGTCTTTCCGAGTCTCAGCGGGTAAAACACCCGCGGCACGTTCGACCATATTTGACTGGAGGATTAGGCGTAAAAAAAGAAAAAGGGAAAGAAGACAGGAAAATTAAAAAAAGACCGAAGACGCACGATCAATCTTCGCTGAATCTAATCCCGGTAAATTTGCACGATAATCACCGCGGCAGACAGAATCCGTATAGAGATATTGTTCGTTTTACGTCGATTAAGAAATCTAATCGGTCGATGAGAATACAACAAATAAAACGTTTGAACGTTCTTCGAGAAGTGAGTAGAGTCAATATTCTGCGAAAGCCTCGGAAGTGGTGTCGCGCTGGAGACACGACTCGGAACTCTTCCGAAACGTGCGAAATGCGACTCAGGGATCGTGCCGTTTTCATCAGCTGCCGCCGCTGCCGGCGAAGCTGTCAAAGTGAACTTTAAGGGGCTACCGACGCAGCCGGGCATTAGCATAAAATGCTAAAGAAACGCGCCACATTAGAATTTCGATGTAGATTAAAGCGCGACGCCCGGCCAGCGAGGCTCCTAAATCTGACTTCGTAAAAATAACTCCTCTCTCGAGTCGAGCATCCTAACGAAATTTCCAGCGACGAAGACGACGACGGCGACGACAGTGGCGGGGAATCGTCTCAGTCGCCGGTTCGCGTACAGTTGCTGAATAGCTAAATTTTCGGGCACAAATGGCAAAGTACTCGCGCGCAACTTCCTGCAAAGTAAGCGTCAAGGACGAGTTCCACGTCGGACGGAATCTATTTATGACACCAACAGTTCACGACGAATATACCGATCGGAATTCTTCGTTCTCTCGTGTCAAATGAAAAGCGCGTGTCAAAGGCAAATCAGCTCGACGACGTTCGGACCGTCCGGAGGATTCCCCGGGATGGATATCCCGCTCGAGAGATCGCGCTTTCTTACGTCGAGAGGGCAGGATTAATTTCGACGTCTCGGCGACGACGGTGCGCGCGTGGACGGCAGAAGCGAAGGCGAAAGTTCACAGACTGCTAATTAATTAACCCCGACACAAATGTTGACTAGCCGGGAGCAGCTGAATCTCCGAGGAGAGTTAGAGAGAGAGAGAGAGAGAGAGAGAGAGAGAGAGAGAGAGAGAGAGAGTTCGCGCGTGAGATTGCGTGCGGAGACTATTTTGTCCGAGAATTAATTCTTAAATAGTTGCGCGATGGATATTCTCTCTCAGCCTCTCTCGCTCTCCCGTCCTCCATCTTCGTTCGGCTCGTCTTTTTCTTCCCCGCTGCCGATTCCACCTCCAATTAGCGGGCCATAAATCGACATGCGTGCAGAACATAAATTCGCGCCCGCCTTGTTCGCTCTCTCGCTTCACTTCTTCGATCCTATCTTTTCTCTTTCTTTCGCGTTCTTTTTTTCAAAGGAATTCCCGAGATCGCCTCACCGGCGATGCGATCCTTTTTATCGAAGCCATGTGTCTTCCGGGAGAGACACGCGATATCGGAAGATTCCTGGAATCCCATCAAGCACCCCGGCAAAAGAAATTTTCCGCCGACTTGAGCGCGCTCCCGCGAAATCTAATTTTATTTGCCGCTTATCGGAACAGAAATCAAATGTCGCGTCAGAAGGTGCGGACCTCGGTGCGAGCCGAGAGAAAGGAGAGGAATACCAACCAGATAATATTACATTTATCGTTGGTGCGAGAGAACGCCGCTGGATTTCGCGCGACGCCGGCTAATTATGTCGCGGCATAATATCCCGACCTCATTCGCGACGAACGCTTCGGATTTGAGATAAACCCGGCGACTTTGCGCGAGCGCGCGTACAAAGATTCCACGTTATTTCGCGTTATATCCCGTCATGCTCATCGACGACGCACTCTCGAGAATGCAGCATAAATTAATAACGAAGTTACGGTTTGTCACCGTCTTATTTTAGTCGCGAATCTTTCGCACGAGCTCGTGAATTCACATCAAAACGAGCAGCCACGCGAATGCAAATATCAACTGCCGAATGTAACACGCGCATATACAATATATGTACGTACATATATATATATATATATGTGTGTGTGTGTGTGTGTGTGTGCGCGTGTATTAACTGGTTCTTAATTAAAATTATAATATTAAGTTGATGTACGGCGCGGCAGACTGCGCTGTGCGCCAAAGTCACGCATCATTGTTTTAGAGGGAAATAATGTACGGTAATCTGCCGGAAATGCAACAAATCGTTGAGCAAATATTTTCGCTGTGCTCTTGCACTGTGAATAAAACACGCGCGTGAATAAAGAACATTCGCGTCTATGCCTGTGAAATTCATTCTGCTTAATTATAGTAGGCACTCGCGGACGCAAACTATAAAACAGAGAGAGAGAGAGAGAGAGAGAGAGAGAGAGAGAGAGAGATTAAATAAATAAAATATTTTATTACATAGAACGTGCATTTTTCTGTACGCGGTGCAACATGCGCGACAAACTGCCGCGACATTTTCTGCCTCGCGCCGAAAAAGAGAGACAAAGAGAGGGTGGTAGAGAAAAAGCGAAAAAGGAAGCTGTATTCAGCGAATGGCCGTTGCAACGCGCAAAAGACTGACGTTTCCGTTCCAGTATCTGGAGATTATTGTAGATGGAGAGAGACAGGCTCTCTCTCTCTCTCTCTCTCTCTCTCTCTCTCTCTCTCTCTCTCTCTCTCTCTCTCTCTCTCTCTCTCTCTCTCTCTCCCTCTCTCTCTCTCGTTCTCTTCTTTCCCACCGCTTAGAACGACTTAATTATACTGAATGTCGATAATAAAGTCGCCATCTGCGAGCGGCCTGGGAGAGGCTCAATTAAAGCTGTCTTTTAAGCCGCCGAAGAAAGATCTGCAGACGAGACGAGGGGGAGTCTTTCGCGCTGTGCTCTCCCTTCCGAAAACTACCATTCTCCTTCGAAACTCCCGCCGTGAAATAATAATCCCAATTATTGTTATCGCAAATCGCACAATAGGAGAGTGAAGAAGTAACAGGCGGCGGCTGTTGCTCAGCGATTCTCAGAATATATCGGGTGTCTCGAGCGAAGGAGTGTCGCGCGAAGGATTTCCCGATCATTTCCCAATCATGAGTGATTGAGAATTACATCCTAACGGGAAACGGACAAATAACTAGACGTCCCGCCAGAAGACCCTGTTAGATTATCGATGACGTAACAATTTTGTCACTCGACACGCTCTCTTTCCCTGCCCCCTTTCCCCCTTCGATTCCACCGGTTTATCTGAGCGACAAGCGAACGCGTTTCCGGAGGAGAGCCGCTCGAGCGACGCACTCGCTCGTATCGCTCGCTCTCCGCGTGGCCTCGGCCGCTAAAAACAAGTCGAACGAATGATAAGGTCATGAAGAGGAGAGGCTGCGCTCGCGCAACGGCACGAGCCGATTCGAAGGCGGCCGGGGCATCCCGGGGTTGCGAGATTGCCGTGACGGAACACCGCGTCCGTCCGGATCGTTACCGTGACGATGCACTTGCGGCCCGAAGCCGCTTTCAAGGGGTGAAATAACTACTCCTAGGGGTAGTTTCTATCCCCCTTTGATAGCTCGGCCTCGAACTAACGGTGAGTGCCAGGACTAAGAACATTACCATAACCTTCCATTACTCGTTACCGCTGGTCTCCCCGACCCACACTTTCGCTCCATCTCTCTCTCTCTCTCTCTCTCTCTCTGTCTCTCTGCCTCGCGTTCAGTCCATTTCTACCCCCCTTTCATCCCTCCTCGCGTCACTCTTTCTCTCTGTCTACCTCTTTCTTACACTTCTTCTCGCCCTTTAACCTTCTCACCTCTCTCGGCCTCTCTCCTCGCGGTATCTTCTTTTCACCCGCTCCGATCGCGGTTAATTACCTCGCGACGCGCACTCGCATCCGATAATAAGACGCCGGATTCCTCGAGGCCGCCGAGCACCGCGGATGATCGCGCAACACGTTCGTGTTCGCGGCGCTGGGAGCCTACGGTGATCGCTCGTCGCGCGGTCGAAATCGCGCCGTAAAGCTCCCCCTAAAAGCCCGGCGCGCGCGCACGCGGAAAGCCGCGCAGACGTTAAAGTTTTATACGCGACCTCTCACCCCTCGCGCCTCACGGCACTGAGCCTCGCGAGATCACTCTCTCCTCTCCACTCGCTCTTGTGCTCTCGCGCGCGCGGTCCGTCTGTAAATTTATAATGCGTTCTCTGCGCGGAATAATAAGTCGCACTGCGTTCGCGCGTGCGAGCACACGTCGCGATCTGATCCTTCGAGCGGAGAATTCTCCCCCGACGATCGGCCTCGCGCGGCGATAATAAGCCTTCGTTTCTCCGGGACCGTCGTACTCCGCGAGTTCTGCCTCGCGCCGCTATCATCATCCGACGGAAGTGTTTCCCCAGCGGCTAATTTCGCGCGTCCTTCTCGATACCCCCGTGATATTTCTCCAGGCTTCGGGGCCGGGAGACATCGCTCCCCCGAGTCCCGACGACGGCCGGGTGGAAAAAACGAGCCTGATGATAAATAACAACGGCACCTGG